ATGTTTAAGCTTGCTTTAAGTTTCAGCCCATGCAATATTTAGAAGATACGTACCACAGCATAATGTGAGAAGGTGCAGTAATCATGAAAGAAACCATGATTCTTCAGCTTAGCAGGAAGCCACCAGACTCCGATCTTTCAATGGTCAGCCCCAAGAGAGAAACATACTGCTGAACACAAGTGATGCAATCCTGGTCCCCCATTACCTGATTTAGGCAACAGGACAGATGCGGGTTGCTGTGGTTTGCATTAAGTTGGCAGACTATGTAATGTTCGCCTATGATGCATGCTTTATTTCTGTAAGTTACAATTTACAGGTTTTGCCATTATAATAATTTCCGTCACGATATAGAAAAACGTCAACTTTTACGTCCAGTGCGAAAATGCAGTCGAACTCTGTCTATGATAAAATATTTAACGTTTCTTGAACAGCACCACTCACTCTTCAACTCTCATGAGAACGTCTTTATTCCGTTTGTACTAATGAGATGCAAAAGTTCGCGTAACCTTAGTGCTCAAGAATACGATGTGTAGATTACCCTCTTTTCGCAAACTACAGTTTGGCTTCTCTCAGAAGCGTTCCTATGGCGATAAACTTAGCCAATGTTTCAAAATTTTCTGATATGAAAAAATCTAAGCGACACTTTAAAGATTAACTGTTGAACATGCTGAATAGCGGCAAATAATGAAAACGGTGATAATCACCTCTTTCAAGATGATAGATATTTGTCTCACTACCACAGGGACCATTTGCAAGAGTACCGCAAAGATAAATTTTGCATAAGTATAGGCTGAAGTGAGACAGGAGATAAGGGACGAAATAAGGATCTGTCAGTATGGCGGTTTCCTTTGTTCTAAGTATTTAATCCCATATGACCTATACTTGTGCAGGGATTTTAAAGATATTGTTTTTTGCGGGTCCATTCCTCACTATAAACCAGGATCTGCGTTAACTGTATCACTGATGCCCCTGGTCGGTCATGACAGGCTGATACGCACTAGAATAATGTGATTTATCGCACTTACGCCACGGTATGAACAAAGCTGGATGCAGCAATTTCTGTGCAATTTAGGAGGGAAACAAAAGACAAATTTACCTTTTTAAGTATAATAAAACTTGTTATTAGATATATAAATTGTAACCACTCTTTTATTCCCACCTTCGGGCCAGGAAGCGTAATATATCAACATTACGCTTGTTGAGATTTCAGCTTACTCCAGGAGAACACGCATGGTAGAACGCAATAATTTATTACGGAAACGCGTACCACATCCAATCGATCAAATCTAGGTGCTGACAAATCATCGCATATCATACTTTTGTTCGGACATAAAAACTCTTAAACATTTCAGAAAGACAAACATGAAAAATCAACTATGCCGTCTGTGGATTGACATCTCGGATGTCTCAAATGACATTTTAAACACTTACATCAGTGGAATAAGCCCGGGAGAATGCAACAGTTCTTTGATTATAAATTTTAATATGTTTAAAACACGGAATTTAGAATAACCCTGTATTTTCACTTCTCAAATGTATATGGAAGCACTGGCATTTGATTAATTGCAACATTCAGTTCTAGTTGAGCAATTTTAGATGTGATCAGTGCAATACTGACACTTTACATCATTTTATTAGCATATGTGACAACAGCTTGATAAATATAAAATTAAATACCTGAATCAAGCACAAGATAATAATCAGTAAATGAAGATGTGTTTATTACACGATATTACTATTATAATATCATGCTTTATCAGAATAATTTTACTGATTTTAATAAAATCTATAGATTGTTCGAATTCTATAAAAAATAATCTATCATGTTTTGGTTAAGAATAATTATTCTTTGAATGTTGTTTATACCATAAATTGTTATAAAGTTTAGCAGATTTGCACAAGAACATAAAGTTGGATAACTTTTACATTACTGTACAAACCTACTAAATATTACTACACGTACCATAAATGTATAGTGACATTTAGTAGGTTTATACAGAAATGTACAATTTATTCATCTGATTTCAACAGTAGATTTTATCACTTATAAATTATTCATAACATTTAAATATATTTTTGCAATTTAACTAACAACAAAATCTTTATCAAGGTATTATGAACCTGTAATTTACATTTTACATCTATTAGAAATAGTCGATAAAGAAATTTAGAAAACTTAAAGGGCATTTATGCTTAATATTAATGTCATATATCATTAATATTATGATTTATTACATACGCTCTCTTCTTTCAAAATGGGCTTCAGCAGTTGGCTATCTAATATTGGCAGAATTACTTATATGAATCTGGCAGCAAGAAGTGATCCGTCATAAACGCTTGGCTGATCATTATTCTTGCAACTTCGGTAACCCTTAGGTCCGCAAGAAGTCAACGACAGTTGTACATATTATTAACGCTTTTGGGGGTCGTTAATCGCGATAAGACTGGATTCTGTTACGTTCATTAAAACCTGAAGAAGAAGAAAGTGACGCAAAGGCCCTTAGTTACTAGAAATCTCCAATGTTAAATATTCGAAAAGTTATTAACTTTTATTAGGATTGCTACGAAGATTATATAATCGTTTTGTGCAAACGTTTAAATAAATAAATAATTACAATTTATGTTGTCATAAAATTTATAAATTTTAATGGTAAGAATGTTTTCATCTAAAAATAAATGTTTGGGAAAATTAAAATTATATTTCCCGTTATTATCCTCTTTTATCTTAACTAAAAGTTTAAATTTGAAATTTTATGGAAATGAAAAAGAAATCGCTTATGGAATGGAATGAAAATTCTTAGCTGAATTGCGAATTACATACTTTCTACTTTTTCTTATGCTAAATATCGCTAATTGACAATTTTAGCAATTTAGAATTAGATCTGCTTCTTTTCACATATAATTCCATTGCGCCATTTGAAAATAACTCAAATAATTTTTGAGAAGTGATTCGATAATATTCTGATACTTCTTCGAGTATATTTGTCTTTATCATTTAATTATGTTTTTGACTGTCCTCCTTTTAGTCATATGCCCGGCTTATACCAGCTAGGTGAAATAGGGGCTTGGCACATTAATATTCATTTTTATTGTGATTAGAATCCTTAGTAGTAGTTTGGGAAAAGGCATATTGAAATAATTTCCTAATTTGAAACAAAATTCTACTTCTTAGTAATATTCTCATAGATGTTGTTAGTAATATTCTAAAACATATGTTAATAATTCTGAAATATGCTGTTATAATATTCTTTTAATCACGATGGCAGCCAACCACAAAACGAGTTCCCCTAGCCCTGGAAAAGCTCTTAAATGTGCAAAATTCTCCTTAACCAGATTGAGTGCTTCGCTATAATGAAACATTTTCTTCTGATTTTCCTCCTTCCTATCTAGCTACATATAAACAGGTAAAGGGTTCACTTTCTTCTTCTTCTTCTATTGACACAATATCCATCCAGGGATGGACCTCTTCCTTACTTATGCCCTCTTCTACTCTACTTTCCGTTTGGCTAAAGGTTTCCTCCTAAACTGATAATATTAATAATGTTAAAGTTACTGTCGATGCTGTCCAAACATCGAAGTCTTGGCCTTCTCGTTTTCTCATTTGCTTATAGTCCAAACGTTTTAAATATTAAAGAAGAAAATTTATTTGGCAAATACGAACACCAAATTTCGTGTCATAAATTTTAACGAATTTGATAATACCATTTCGTTTACATAATTTATGTAATTCCTTAATATATTTATGTCACCACATGTCATAGAGTTTTCTTAGGACTTTCCCGCAAAAAAAAAAAAAAAAAAAAAAAAAAAAAAAAAAACTAGAAAAGTTTCTAGCATTCCTTTTATTTAGTTAAAGTTTTCAGAGCCATACGCAAGCAAAAGTCGTTTCATAGTTTCGTATAACAACAATATCGTATAACTTTGAAATGATTTAGATAGTAAAACTTTTTTAAGCTTTAAAAAAGGTAGCGATTGGCAGCAATAATACTTTTCTTAATATCTGTAGCAATCTTGTTCTCAGATTTTTCTCTGGACCAAGATAAGCAAACTAATTATCAAATATTGCTGTTGAACCTTTCAAACAGAAGTGTTCCCAGGTTCGAGCAGTGTACGCAAGCAGTTCTGTTAGAAACATCTGTTATAAAAAAGCAAAATCATTACCCATTAATTGTAAATTAGTAAATAATGGCATTCACTTGGACACCTTTAGCAGAGAAAGATCTCCAACAATTGCTTGAAAATTCGAAGATCGATACAGATACTAAGAAATTTTCTTCCAAGTGGTGAAGAGCTTAGCTTCTAATTTTGAAGTTCTAAAAAGGGCTACGAGAAAAGAAGCATAAAATTGATTATAATTTTGGAACATTTCTGTCAGTTTAGTATGCAGCCTAGCCGTGAATTGTTTAGTTATGCCGACTACAGTACTGATAGGTCTGTGTTCAAATCCTAGAGAAGACATATGTTTGTAAACGTATAGTGCCTATGTGACAAAGAGACACTAAAAATACATACTGAACGAAAAGGCGTTTTGAGAAGTTGGTAGTAGGGAAAGAGAAGTGAGAAACTCTTAGAGCCCCCATGAGGGTGTTTTCCCTCGAAACTGGTCTAGAAGCTTAACAGTTAGCTAGGTTCCAAGATTATAATTTCATGTTTCAGAATAATGGCCGTTTACTGGTTCAGAATACATTTTGTTTCGTTTTTGAGTGCATTTACTGCCACTTTCTACAAAACCGAAAATACCATTACTAATGTTCGTTTTGTTCTTGCAATTATAATACTTCCTTTGTTAATAAATCAGCAGCATAGTCAAGAATCTGGATCATCTTTTTCAAAATAGTATTTTAGTATAATACTAGAATCTCGGACCACGCAAAAAACCTTTAAAGTCAAATTGAACAAAAGACAAGCAAAGGAAAAAAGTCACTACATCTTATATAATATATCTCCTTGATTTTAGGGAAAAAGCAGGGATTCGAATTATTAATTGCCAAAAGACTCACCCACTGAGCTGAGCAGCATATTATCTAGCAGTAAAGCTATTGCGACGATGAGAAGAACTAACCTCCTGGAACCTCGAAATCTTTGCATGAAATCCAAGATGCAATTGCTGGATGTCATATCTTGAGTCATTTTGGAGTCTGGGATTTACTGATGGCTGAAATGAGAAAAGATATGAATCATCATGCAAAACATTTTAGCATTTTAACACCAGAAGATAGTTCTTGTTAAATGAGTGCGTGTTGTCTTGAATATAATTGCCGTATGACATAATGATACAAAAATAATGACCTTTATAAAATGTTTCTTTGATACTCATGCATTCAAAAATCGTTAGTGACATCAGATATTTGGTTTGAAGTCAACAGTAATAATGAAAAATCTATACTTCAGTATCATTATTCAAGAAAACATTCATTTATTTTAAACTACTATTAATACAAAGTAATTTAGCTTTGAATTCAAGCTGAGACATATTATATTTTATTTTCAAGAAATTATTTATTCATTTCATGTAATTTGTTTTATTTTTTAAATCAAATACCAACTGCAGTTCCTTATGAGCATATAATTTCAGATTGTACTAGTTTTAATAACAAGAAGCAAAACTGTAAACGTATTACTAAACTGATTTAATTGTAATTAATTTCAGAATAGATACTAATGCGTACGTACGGGTACGTATTAAATTGAATGCGCACAGACTTGAAGATAGCTTGAAAAAATTTATTTCACATATAGAGACATTAGGTTTTTTGGAAGCAGGAGGTGTGAAAAATGAGCAAAGCCTTCGCCGGGAATCGAACCATGAACCTCTAGAATAAGCGCCCAGCGTGCAGACCACCACACCCCGAAAGCATGCCAAGAAGGTTGAAGAAATACCTTACACACAAAAAAATTCACAGTTCTGGTACTTTCTAACAAAGTAATTGTGCACAGTATAACACGGTATAATCAGTTATTTCATTTCAGACTGTTAAGAGCGTTAAACACAACGCAATGCAAAGCCCATCTAAAGGCGAAGCCCTTAATACTCCGAATTCAGCTGTAAACTAACAACAGCTGAGAGGCCGCCCAGATGGTATAGTTGCTAGGGGAGCCCGACCGCGATACCGAAGCGCCTGGGTTAGAATTCCAGAGAATGCATGGATGTAAAATTCTCTGTCCCTTCATAGGAGGTAACGTTGGCCGCCTATTAGGTACCTCCAAAATAAAACGGCCACCACTTAAGGCCTTAGGAGTGGCCGATGCCGTTATAGGCAAGAGCCCTGCTATTGGAAAATGAAAAAAAAAAAAAAAAAAAAACTGAGAGCAGATGCTTTCTCAGTCTTATATAGTTTTCACCCGGCCGCCGAGAAATCGCTGGTAAATTCCATTTCTCGAAGTTACTGGAAAGCATATTCGTTAAAGTTGCATCTAAAAGCTGGATACGATAACATTTGCATATATGGAATAATTACAATTATTCAATTACAATACCGGAATAAAATGTTGTTAAACTTGACGACTTTTGGCGATTTCTTCCCTAACGGGCGACAAAAATTTGTCGCCAAACCCATCGCCATCTTGGCGATATCTCGCCATTTTTGCGAGATAATCATTTGCTCAATGTTAGACTTGCCCTTGTACTTTTACTTTTCTGGTAGAGCATCGTCTCTTTAGATTTTCATGTTACATTATATAGAAAATTACAACAATTTCACGTACGTTTTCACTAAAATTATTATTACATATACAAAATTCATAACAATACTAAGCAGTAACGAAATAGAGGAGAAAATTATAATTTAGTTTCTTGGAAAAAATACTACTACTTGTATTTTCATAAAATACTTCCGGTCTACGCCAATATAGTTATTACGATCTATTTGCCAAAATTTTTAGATATCTTTTAAGTGTAGGTCTTTGATTAGACAGAAGAAATTTCGGTCGTTTACTCATGTACATTGGCTTCTAAAAGTTAAGTACATGACGGTAAAATGCACAAAAAAGAAAACATAAAGCTTTCATTAAAACCCAATAGCTCATGCAGGTAATAAATATGTTTATGAATGAAAGTAAAGAAAGATTATGTACAAAGTTGAAAATAGTTATTTATTCGTCTTAATTTCGTCGTACCTTCTATAACTTACTCAGGTTTGTAGTACAATCAATAGGAACATTTTAAGATCTTTATTTTTTTGTCATTTTCTTTCAGGAAAAATATCTAGTTTAAATTATTTAAGCTGATACTATATTCAGCATTATACTAAACTGAAACCATGAAAATAAAAATCACAAATGCTAAAATTATTTTTTTTATTTAATTAACTATGAATAGAAGACAATGATCTATGAAATTATTTCCCGAACTACTTTATACGAGATGTATATTACATGAAATACAGTTTGCTTCGGTATCTATTACGCTGGAATACTCAGAAGGAGAAAGCGTCGCAAATAGATTTGTCGTTGACCTTCAGTTATAAAAATTAAGGCCACTTCTTCGGTAATGTCTAAAATCCTTTAATGGATCTTTAAACTACCGATTTTTTCCAACAGGTCTACCAAACTGCAAAGAGAAACCTACTAAAATAAGCTAAATTTACTTTAATTTATGTACGTATCATTCATTTTATTTACATGTTTATTAAATGCGTTAAAGAGAGTATTTACATTTTTAATTTATGTTTTATAGGAAATGCTCAAAGTTTAAAAATACGTGTCATTATTTTCTTTGGATAGAAATCTGTTTATATTAAAAGAAAGTCACTGCAATATCTAAACAGTACCTTCCTTTTCGATTATCCGTATCTATTTGCTTGATTAAATACCGATAAAGCGATATTAAAGAATCAATATGTTTACGCTTTCCGAAAGATTTTCTCGATTTCTTAAAGACACTTTGACACCATTTGTGATTAATATTTACGGATATCTGAACACTGTGATCTTTCCTGTCTTCAAATAAAGGACGAAATAAATGATCTCTTGTGATACCGCTAATCAGTAAATAAAATATCATTTCTGCAGTTATTTTGTTTGAACAAAATAAGACAGTAAAACATTTTCTCAGAAAATTAACATAGTGATAATTGGACTAACTGTATTACCATATCACAAGATTTCATACGACATTTTGCCATATGTATGCGAAAATTTTAAGTAAACTTCATAGAAAACGGTTGTTTACAGTCACATTTAAAATTAGCAAAAATGATTTAACAGGTATTTAGATTTATAGAAAACTGGTTTTAAAAATGATGCAAGCGCTTTCGTTAGCATTAAAAAAAGTAGAGGGATGAGCACATTATGAGAAAGAAAAGTAAAATTATTTCTCATTATATGTTGTATGTAGTTTATTATTTTGTAAGTTATTTCTCCCATCTTCTTAGCGTGCCTTCGTTATGTAGTGGTCTGTACGCTTGGTGCGTATTCCAGAGGTCCGTTAAGGTTCGATTCTCGGGGAAGGCGTTGCTCATTTTTCACATTTCCTGATTTCAAAAAAATCCTAATGTCTCTACAGTGGCGCCCGAATTAAAAGGGTGGTGGTGATGATTCTCTCTGCCCAGGATTTGGCGATTGTGTCCCCTAAACCCCAGTCGCCCTTTAAAAGGGTGAGTATGTAAGGTATTTCTCCTTCCTTCTTAGCGTGCCTTGGTGGTGTAGTGGTCTGCATCGTATTCCAGAGTCCATGGTTCAATTCCAGGCGAAAGCGTTGCTCATTTTTCACATCTCCTGCTTCCAAAAAAATCATAATGTCTTTAGGAGCTATTTACTGTCTACAGCTTTTACTATCTACTTTCTACTTTCTACTTCTTTTCTTATCTACCTCTTTTATACAGATGCAATGGTTATTTATTTTTCTAGCCAACTTTTTCTTGTGTTTCCATTTATATCGCTGCTATCAACTCTCATGCTTACACACTTTACACCAGAAAACGCACATTATAAGAGAAAAAAGTACCACATAAACTGCCAGAAATCAAATTAATATAGTATAGAAAGGTAAACTCAAAGAAATATTCACATTCAAAAAAGAAAAGAAGCTTCGCTTTACAAATTGGTACATATTTAAGAAATAAAATGATTTCACCAAAAAGCATTAAAGAAAGTGTATTTTCTAAGCACTGTATAAGGCTTATGATATTCCCCAATAGAACCACTAATGAGCCATAACAAATTAAAACTTTCTAAATCTTCTAAACTTAAAACATGATTGATTAATTCATGATGGAAAGCACAGTAGCATAGTATAGTAAAACAAAAACAGTGGTTATAATTAATCTATCAATTAGAGTAAGTTAAAAAGTGCTTTTAAATTATAACAGAAGATAAAGTCTTCAGAGTTAATTAAAAACTAAATATTTAAAATTTTATTTATGTTTAAATTTCCTAATGTGAGTTTGAGGTTTTTTTTCTGCAAAAATCTTAAAATGGTATCTGAATAGTGTTAGACACTTTTATCTTATCAGGCAACTTGCGACCATTTTATACAGATTTCAGAGAATTTTGAATCTTTGTTCCATATCAGGGTCAGTACGAAATTTTTATAACATACTAAAATACGACTGAAAATTAGCCCGAGCTCTTTTAGTGATAGCTTTTTTGTCTGCGATCTAATCTTAGGGTCAGAAATAAGTCAGATCTAGACTCCATTCGTTTCGCTAAATATTTGCTCCTGAAGAAAAGGGAACCTATATCAGATAAACTTCGAAATTCTGTTAAAAAGTTATGACAATTTAAAGTGTTTTTTACAAATTTCAAACCTAAGAAAGTACATTTTCTAGCGAAAAGAGATCACGAATTTTCTTAATGGCGTAACTCTCATTTTAGCTGAAATTTCTACAGTAAAATGAAGTTTACCATATATTAAAATTAATATAATGTTCAACAAATAGTACTTGGCAAAATATATTAATCACTAAAACTAAATTATCTTTTGAAAAGTTTTAATACTTTATTAAAATTTCCAGTTGTATGTCATAAACGTCGATACATGCATCAGTGCTTGATTAATACAATAGCTCCCTCTTTTTTAATTACTCATTTTACTACTACTTAACACTATTTCTGAATTTAAACCATGTTAAAAGTTCTAAGTTATCAACAAAATTAACGCAGAAAAATACTGCACCTAGTCGTTAATCCTTTACTAAATTTTCTGAAGTGATAAAT